TCAGATTTTGAAAAAAGAACTCTTCATCCTGACTTGGAAATCCCAGTGAATATCAGGATCCTAATATCAGTTATGCCAATTTCAATATTTAAGCACTTTGGACTACAAACCTAAAATAATAACTATTTTAATCAATGTATTCTGCCTGTGTATTCATGTTATTACAAAATGAAAATGTTGAGAGGAAGAGAATAAAATACAATGCTGCAATTTTAAAAGTGTGTCATTTACTTCATTTATAGTTATTTGTTTGAATAGCAAATAAAGTAATGCACATAAAATTCTCTTTTTCTTTGATTTATCCCACTACCAAGACATAATTCATAATGGCTAGATATTTAACCTAAATTATTAGATTTTTTATTTTATAGGTTTTGTACATGTTATCGTAACTTCTGTTCTAAGCTATAAATTACGTTACTCAATTTTACCACATGCAATCACTATTGTTGATTCTGAAAATTATTTCCAGCCTAAAAGATATACTTTTCATGCACCTTTAATTAATTATTAGAGTTCCTGAATGCTACCATAGTTGTTGCATTGTGATTTTCAATGTGTTTTACCCCATCCTCCAACATATCACATGGATGCTTTGTCTTTTAGTTCTCAAGTCTGACACAAGAAAATCTTTTGTTCAGAAGAAAGTAACTCTTTAAATCCATCTACACCAATCACATGACCAACAGCTGCCTTGTAAGAATTGTCAGTATGACCAGCTGGCATGTTACTATATGGCAACAAATCCCTTCACTATCACGATTTGTGCTGGCTTTAACAGTTAAATAGGCTACAACATGAAGAATCTTTTGTGATTTTGAAAAGTTGGCAGCTCTTTGAGATAATTGTCAAATAAACTGGCAATGGGATGAATAATCTTTAGTTAACATGAGAAATCTCTAACTGGTTTTGTTTTTCTTTAACCATCTTTTTTTTACATCCCATTGGCTAAGTTTCAATATAATATTTTGAACATCTATATGTGATATTAGTCACAATTCAGAGTTATCATAAATTTTGAGGACTTTGTTAATATTTTAAGCAGGCATCCTCAGTATCTTTTAAAATGCTCATTTTCTGCAACTCAACATCCATATTTTTGTTCCACTATTTTATTAGTAAGATGTATCAGAAGAATCTAATACATGAAGGGCATTAATTAATTCACAATAGTTTTTGCAAGTTATTTTAGAAAGTAAAATCAATCTTTCTGGAACCCTCAGAGCCTTCAGCATTGCGAATAGCTCATAATTGGCATTAGCAGAAAGGAGATAGATTAATAAAGGCTTTGGTTACGCACAAACATAGTACGATTGTAATTTTCTGCATCAGAACACACAGGAAAATCGCCATAAAGAGCAGCAAACTTAGCCAATAGTAACCCATAATTTTCAAAATCAAAATGGAATATTTTTGAAGTATATATACAAAGGATTTAAAACAATTATATAATTGTATGAAAAACAATATTTAAATAAGTTACATATCTTTAATAAGCATATTTTTACAGAATGGTTCAATGACTTGAAGATGAATTGGATGTCAAGACTAGCACACAATACAGTGAGTTACATTTCAATATAGATCCTTTCCTAAAAGGTCATTACTTTGTTCAGTTAGGTAATTCAATGTCACATACTACAAAACAAGGTTTCTATGCACTGTTCCACACACTATAGCTATAACTACACTTATCAGTTGTATTCCCTAAAAGAAAACAGAAAGGGAATAAAATGTTCCATGCATTATTTTTCCAAAATAAATTAATCACCTCAGAAATGTGAGTCAGGTATGTGTCGCCAATAATTAAAGTGGTAAATTCTGAATTCTATTTTTTAAAACAATAAACCAATATTATTACAGAATATTAAAAAAGTGAATTTGACCCAATCAGCAAACCGTAATTTAAAAATGAAATGGTGGTGAGATTTTTGACAAATTCTTCAGGCTACTTTTAAATTCACATAACTTTCATTATTCCGCAAATGAAAATAATAATTAGGGAATACACTGTGGTTAAGAGCAAAATGCACATGTTTAAGGATGACCAGAAAAGCAGATGAATACCTACAGTTAACTAGTAGTCATGAAATTAAATGTTGTTCATGTCATACTACTATCCAACACTGTCTGCTCACCATATTTCAAATTTATGAAAGCACTTAATAAAAAATAATCTCTTTACAGTAGTACAATGAACAATATGCAGCAGGAATAAAAGAGATTTGCATTTATATAGTGCTTTTCACAACCATCAGCTATCTCAGTATTTCACAACCCATGAGGCACATTTGACGTGTAGTCACTGCTGTAATGCAGGAAATGTGGCAGCCAATATGTGCACATCAGCTACCTCCAAAATCAATGTAATAAGGACCAGACTTTCTAACATTCTTTCACAGTAATGAAAGCATCACTGGTTAGGTGTGCTGTTGATTAAGGGATTTTTTTTTAATGCAATGCTTTCCATTTGGTTATTTCAGCTGCCTTGACAGCTTATTAAATATCAGCACTGCGACGATAACAACCACAAAATGTATATCAAATAAACAAACAAACAAACATGAGATGAATTTTTTTCCATTGAAGATTTCTTTAAATGTTCTGACTGGGATCTTAATGATAACACTATCCACTTAAGGACTTACACTAAGCAGATCAGTGAAAGCAGGGACTGACATGCATGTACCTTTATCACATGCTCAAGCCACCAATTATATGGAGCAGGGAAAAATAGCAATTTCTTGAAAATATGTACTAATTTTGACAAAGAGAGAAATCTACCTTTACAACAACAGTCACATTAAGGTATATTAAGGCTGGCTCAGACACTCACAAACAAGCCTGCTTTATTTGGTAAAATGCAGTTCATCATCCTATAATACTGTTGCAATTAGAAATTTTTGGATAGCTCAGTTATGTCATGTAGTATGAAACCAAAGCTATCTCATTTAAAAAGCACACCAGAATTCAACACACATATTTTCACAGTTAAAAATAGAACAAGATGAATTGTTTCAAAAATACACATCTATTTCAGTGGGAAGCATTACAGATAACCAAAGCACCCACATGGACAGTATATTTTGCCAAATACATCACTACAAAATGAGTAGCAATTCTACACTGGGCAGTAGCCATTAGAAATTGTTTCTCCTGACGCTATTCTACATTTTCAGTACAACGTCCAACTTGCAACGTAGGGAGGAATCACCACTAGAAAAAGTGCACCCAAAAGAAGGTGATATTTGAATTATGAAAGCTCATTTATACAAAAACTATATGTCTGTTTGAGGATCAAATTGTTTTGCGATGCTGTTAAGCATTCAAATATTCCACTAGTCCACAGTGCAGAAATGGAATACTCTGACATTTTGTTTTAACATGGCAACGAAATTCAACCAACACCAGAGAACAAGCACTTAATTGACAGTGTGCTTGAAGCATACTACAAATGTAATTGAAAATATAGCAATATGGATACTGAATCCTTGAACGAAAGACGACATAAACTGCACACGGAGGCAGAATGATACCTTTCCCATTACACAGCGAATGAAAAATGATGTGTAAACCCCAAATTAAAATTATTAGCTGTGTATCTATGCCCTGAATTATAAAGCAGCCATCTCGCTCCAAAGCACACACACACAGCTGCAGGCTAAATTATTCAAGGGGGAATAAACTCTGATTCAGACTGGTACACACACTGCTGCACGTGTTGCACAGACTGCTTGTGGCCGGCACAGTTTGTCTTCCTGCCTGTGTGCATTTGTGGTTCCTGAAGGCTGGAAGGAAACCACAGGTATCTGCTGCCAGGACGAATGCCAGGATCTCAGAAAATCAGGAGATGGTGATCAAATAGGAGCATTCCAGCTAATCACAAGGGCACACTGATCGCGTCTAACTCATCGCAGGTTATGAAGCAACTAGTCAAGGGCGCAGCAATATTCTCACGTTATAATACACGTATCAAATTCTTTCTACGGCGCACCACCTATAAATCCAGATTTGAGAACGAGCTGCAGCTGTCAATCGCGTTCTATTCTGGATTGGATACAAGTAGAATTTACTACAGCTTGTTCTTTTTCTTTTCCTAAAACTGCTCTTTCTCCATCTCCATTTGAACAAAAAAAAATGCATGATAACTCAAAAATAAGAAAGTGTATCCCGCAATCCTCGCTGGTCAGGTGTAGGGAAATGAGCCCCTTTCCTCCCTGAGAAATGACAGCTCAAATTCTTTACTGCAGCGTCACCCCAGCTGTCCCAGTTAGATTAGGGAATCCATTCATCTCATTGGATGCAAAGCAGCTCTCCAAAGCAGCTTACTTATTCAAAGGCAATCACTTTTTTTTAAAAGTCATCAAGCCACTGATTTTTAATTTAGCTCGTTCCACGTCAGTCACATCCCAAAGCTGAATGAATGACAAAACTAAAAGAGCAGCCAGCCCCGGTTTCTGCCAAGCGCCAGCACCAGCAGCTCCGGCGATCCCACTCATCATAATTATCTGCAGATAAGCTCAAACTGGTTTCAGCAATTCCTGTTTCGGACAAAAGTTGTTTTCGCGCACAGTTTGCACAATAAAATCATATCAGAGAGATCAACTGATAACACTGTTACAGCGTGCGATTTCAACGGATTATGCATTTATGTCAAAAGCACAGGCAGGCTTTCTCCCCCCTTGCCTCGCGCTAAACTTTGTATTACAGAGAGAAAATGTCCACAATTCAGGCACAAAATTCGATCAATTTCTATCAGTTTCGCGGTTTACTATCAAATGAAAATAAAAGCAACATACATATTTTTCAAAGATTCTATACGCACGACTACATAATATTGGAAAACTGACAGTGGGCGCGATCAAAGTAAATACATTAGTCACTCTTTCCGAACAAGATCCTGAAAACGTCTCTGTACTGCATTGACTGCATCCTCCAAATATTTAAAGGAATCCTTCCCCTTGCCTCTCTGCAGTGAGTTTGAGCCCCCTCTCACCTACCTGGGTAGAAATCTTTGGATTTGGACAGTTTGATCGTGGCACCAGTCTCTTTCTGCAGTTGGACAATGGTTTGTCCTCCCTTTCCAATAATAGATCCGGCAGCATAGCTAGGTATAAGGACTTTTAAAAAATATTGGCCGTCTTCTGCGAAAGGAAAACGAATAGATTATTGCAATAACAGATACCCACCACAACCATCACCTCCTCCCCAACCACCCATCCACCCACCAAACCCCTACTATTCTCTCTCCCTAGTAAAATGGAATAATCATTAATCAGTATATTTTGTCAATTTTGAAGAACCCGTGCAAGATAAAGCTCCTTAGAAAAAAAATATGCAGTACATTATTAAATTTGCCTAAACAATTGGACATTACAAAAGAAACGGATACTGGATGCCAAACGCCACAAAAATAAATGACATTTTGTGATGCAGAGGGAGAGAGTGCCTCTGCGTACCCATGTTTAGAAGGATTTTGAATAATGTATCAGAAGATGATGACAGTCGTGGTTTCCATGGTGATCGTGAATTGTAATTGACCTATAAAACCGCGCTGTTTGCGTGTAGCGTAGTTAAATATCTCCACATACCGCACTATGTCAATAAATAAACGCAGTTTAACCGAGAACAACTCTCCGCAGCAACTCTACTGATTACTTACTATTTGCTTACTTTTAGACACAAGATACGAACATAATTAGCAACTACACGTGAATGAATCAGTGATCCCTCCTTCGGTGTGGGAAGAAAAATGACATCCCTCTCTCCAGAACTTGGATTCTACGCCTGATCACCAACAGTGACTTGTCACAGCACAATACAGATACGCCGTAGAGCAATCCCCAGCTTTCTGCAGACAGCAGTGATCACTTTAAGCTCATTAATTAAAGGATCACTTCACTTCAAGTCAGTCAATGTCTGTTTTCATTCTGACCCACAGGTAACACTGTCAGTTACAACGGCAAACAAGGGAGAGCGGCGACAATATACCGCAACAGTGACACGAAAACAAATCATGATTGTTGATCAACAGAATTAATCCACACGCTCCCCCCCCGCTCCAACAAACAAACAATCCGCGATGATCAAACACACAAACGCACAAGCTTTTGGCTAGCCACAAAGACCATTAGTCGCAATGCCCTTTCCCTTCTTGCCAACTATTATTAAAATGTATTAAACGGTGGAAAGTGAACTCCGCTACTCATCCCACAGCTCAAATTAGAACAGTTTCTGACCAGTTCAAGTCCACCTCGCTGCACTTGCCAATAATTCTTAACATCGAAGACACGAAAGGCAAGATCAATTATCGGAATACGAAAGAAAGTCACAAATAATACAAAAATATATATATTTTAATGGCTTGCAGAACAGAACAGACGCCATTTTCAAAGGGCTTCTATATATTTCTATATAATGTAAGCAAAGCTACGGAGAAGAAATGCTGCTACCCACCGCCAGTGTTGGTTCTCTTGGTGTTGCCCGCTTCAGGAGGAGCTTCGAGCGGCCGCTTTCTGGAGTCGGGGGGGTCCAGGTCTATGGGAAGCCCGGTGTGGGTCCCGTTCTGCTGGATGGGAGCTGCCGCCATCATGATGAGGATGAAGATGAGGAGAATGAGGGTGTTATTGTTGATGTTTTGCGGACTCTTAGAGAGAGAGGGAGAGAGAGAGAAAGAGAAAAGGAGAGAGAGATGCGCTGATAGGGCCAAGTGGGGGTGGGGGGGGGGGGGGGGGGATGGAAACTGTAATGTGTCGGTGATGTCTGTAAAGAGGGGATGGATGAAGCAAGGGGGAGGAGGGAGGGAAGGAGGGATGGTGACAGACAGATGTGTGTGTGTGTGTTTGTGTGTGTGTGGCAGTGGACGGGGATTCCGCTCCTACTTCGCCTCTGCTCTCGGTGCAGCTTCTCTCATTGTCGGGGATGGATGGATGGATGGAGGGAGGGAGGGAGGGAGGGTGGGAGAGGGGTGTGTGAGGGGAAGGGGGGTTGGTGTGAGGAAATGGGGGCAGGGATGGGGGAGGAGGTCAGAGGTCAATCAATCCCACCCCCTCCACCGTCTAATCCCGCCCTCTCCCCCGGCACGCCTGATTGGCAGCACCCTTTAGCCAATAGACACCAATCTTGGCCCAGCCAAGGACTCGCCCATTGTACCCAGCCTCCAATCCGCTTGGCCCTGGTGCGGGACATCCGCCAATGGTGTGCGGTTTGATCAATACTGGGGCGGGGGGAGAGGTGTTGGAGTGTGTCCCGGTTTGCAGTTTGTCTGTACCTGGTTCTCTCTGAGAGCGCAGCGCAAACGAAAGCTGAACCGAGTTTGGTTCGCCAGTGGCATTGCGAGTACTCGCTGCCTAACCCGGTTGCCCGAGTGTGTTGTGAGTGTGCGGCCGCTCCCAGTGTCTTCGTGCACTCACTCGCGGAGTGCGTGTCCTGAATGCTTGGCGAGCGAGAAGCCGGAGCTGCAGGAAGATGCAGCCTGAGGGAGGCTTAGTGCAATTCCCAGCACATTGCTCTCCTACTTCAGCTCGCCGCTTCCTTCTCCTTTGAATTACGGAGCAAATCTAATCATCGCACTTCTCAGAAATAGCCTGGATCACCAGATTAACAAGCGGAAACATCAAAGTAGCTCACTGACAGCGATTCGTCGTTTATTTAGTTGCGGGTGGGGAAAGTCAATCGCGGCAACAAGTAACACTCGCAGACTTTGAAAATAAAATATAATTATGTCCATCAATGCCCAATTCTTGATTTCCTGCCTTATCCTAAATGAACTCAGTGAATGAAATTTGCACTCGCCCTGCTTTACGGGGGATAAATGTTGCAATAATTTTGCAGAAGTCTGTCTTTAAATAGTCATGCCCACTCTCAAAGCGGTAGGCTGTTCGAATTTAGCAGAAGTTCTGCAGCAATGAAACAATAATACCATTTTAATAAAACAAGTGTAAACAAAGATAGATTTTTTAATGTAGCTGATTTATAAATAAAGCTGATAAATGGCTAGTTTTTCATGCTAAATTTGAAATTACGAGGGCATTCAATTTCGTTTGTACAAAAATTGACTGAATGAAATATTTTATCTACATATCTTCAAATATAATGAATTCCTTCATGGCCTAATACATATTTTCGAAAATCTGGCACATACATAGTGATATTTTATTGCTCATTCTGTAGAACATTGCCCACTTTTAATGTAACTTGACAAATAAAAAGCTGTGGAAGGAGCGGTTGTGTTAAATATACCTATGGAATAAGAACAATGTTAAGTACTTGAGCCAGGCTGTAGTTTGATTTCCATGTGCAGTCCTAAAAACGTAATGACAAAAGATTCTGGAATGGATCATTAGCTGGAAAAGACGCAGAACGATGTGGAAAAGACGTAACAAGTGGAAGGGAGAACAGCTTCAGCAGTCTACCCACGCTTTATTCGCCCGGAACATCTAACGGTTGTTGTCATTAGGCTTTGAAGTAGAATTGCTTTTGGTTCGACATGACTGGAATATTAATTCATTTCAGCAAATTTCCCAGTATAAATTCTGTTGAACTACATGGTATCATGCTTGATTATTACAGGTTTCCCGCATTTGATTTTAGCATCCACAAGTAAGGATATTTATATTCTATATATGCAATTGTATAGGCCGTGAATACAAACACAAATCAAGCAAATAGTTGCAGCAATATCTAGTGAATACTAAAACGTTTAATTGTCTCGATTAAATACATATTAAGAGGGTGCATAAAAATGACTTGCTGGTCGACATTAGAAATCTGAGCAAAGTGCAGAATCCGCGAACCTACTATATCATTTCTTGAATTCTTTTAACACTCAACCCAGACAAGATCTGTCAAGATATAAGCAGCCAATTTGTATTTCAGGTATCAAAATAATAGGCAGAAAATATATCTTGCAGAAAGTATGCCAAAAGGAAAGACATCTTTTGTTCTTTTGTTATTATTGGCCATTCTCCAATGAAGATGTCACAGCTAGGGCCATTTGTTGGTGCGCTAGTAGAGCTGACTGTCACATATCTTTAATAAAAGCGAAATACTACCCATGCTGGAGATGTAAAATAAACGAGCCGAAGAAGAATCACTAGACTCGAAATGTTAGCTCTGTTTTTCTCTCCACGGATGCTGCCAGACCTTCTGCGTTTTCTCAGCAATTTCTGTTTTTATCTATTATTTTATGAATCCAAGGACAAAACCGAACATTGCATACACGCGATATTCGTTTTTAGGTTTTCTTAACAGTTTATTTTGTCACAGATTACACAGGAGACATTTGCCTCAGGTTATGCATAAGAATGTAATTCAGTCACAACCAGCATGTGGTCAGTTCGGGTACGATATAGCAGACTTCTATCTCTTGAGAAGTCGTGGTCGTATCAGTGCTCAGCATCACCTTGTGTGGCCTCAATAGTTGTGGCAATTGTTGGCTAACCTGGTTTTTGCACAGGATTACAATGGTTGGATCATGCACATTCTGGGGCAGAGACCTCTCCCTCTAGCAGACACAAAGAAGTTCATGCAGATGCTGCAGGAGTACCCGTTTCCCACAATGAATGGGTTCAGGTCAAATATCATCAGTACATGGAGCTTAATCCGTAGGATTTGAGCTAATAGGTCTGCTAAACTCCTTTACCTATTATTTTAAGTCAACCAGTCAAGGAATGTTATAATACACCTCTGGAGCTGGTCATACTTGAACCAAGGGCTCCTGGCTCAAAAGTTGGAAAACTACTATTGTTCACTATCCAGCTCTGACATGACAGGATTTCTCTGGTATTTCAGCTCAGGATAATGTTCCACAAATTTCTCCAATTTGCAACTGGGGAGGATCTTCCCTACCTTAGCTGTAACCACAGGCTCTAACTCTTTCACCTCTGGACGGACTTTTTGTCTGATGGATTTGACAGCCCACTTTTGATTGGACTTTGACGCACACTAATTGACCAATCCCGCAAATATTGGCTTTGCGTTACTGTTCCTGACAGGGTATGGATCAGTAATTACATTTGTTCCTGACTCCTCGGTGCCAGTCCTTCATCTTTTGGTTGGTAATATAAGGCAAATCTACCTAATAATATTAAAGGAGACATGCATTTGCTGTCTGATTTTTCACGATGTCAACAATGGCATTACCTTGTTTCTTTACAAGGTTATAAATAGCTCTTACTTGGATTTTGTTAACAAGGATTATGATTGACACGATCCTAACTAAATCCAATACATTTAGTGCAAATTTTGAACAAAACAGATCCACTTAAATCACACAGTTATCCCTCCGGTGGTTAATCTGAGATGAATACAGCTCAAGAGATCTTTAACCAACATCCTTCTGCTTGATTCACTAGAATAGAGCTGTCTTCTTTGTTACTGGAATTATTGTCTTCTTGATCCATTTGTCCATACGTCTAGCACTCCCTATATCAAAGGACATTTGAATATGCTGGCAAAGTTGTGACCAACGATTATTGGAGCACCACCTCGCAGTCTCTTGTGTTTTATATTGAGTAGCCTTAGCTCATTCAGAGTCTTCTTTCTCAAATCTCTCTTGTAAATAATGATAGCAGACCACGTGCCTTCAATAACAGGTTCCATCACAGTGATTTTCGCCTTAAATCAGTCAGCAGCTGTGGATTGCTAGAATGTGTGCAATGTTATGAAACAAGTCCATTAAAAATAAACAAAGACAGAGAATGCTGGAGAAACTCAGCAAGTCTAGCAGCATCAGTGGAGAGAGAAAAAAAGTTAATGTTTCAAGTCCCATATGACTTCTTCAGAACTGAAAGAAATTCGAAATTATTTGTTTTATTCTTTCTCGCAACTTCACCTGGTTCGTCTTTGACTCATCCCTTTCTTTCCTTGACTTCTCATTTTCCATCTCTGAGGGTAGACTGTCCACCAATGTCTATTAGCAGCCTACTAACTCACACAGTTACCTCGACTTCACTTCCTTATACCCTACTCCCTGCAAGGATTCCATTTTGTTCTCTTAGTTTCTTCATCTGTGTCCCATCTGATCTGGTGATGCCACCTTTCACCAAGGTGTTTCAAAGTGACTTTTATCCACAATTAGCAATTCTCCCCTACTGTAGTTGATAGGAACCTAAGCTATGTCTAAGCAATAACCTATTTCCTGCACTTCTGCCTTCACCCTTCCTTACCTTCCCAGAAAATGATAGGGTTCCCTTGATCTTATTCACCACCCACTAACCATTATTGAAGGATCATCCACTGCCGTTTCCACCACCTCCAGAGGACACCACTACCAGTACTTCTTCTCCACCTCTCCACTGTCAGCATTCAGTAAGGACAGTTCCCTCTGTGACACTTCAATCCACTCATCCACAACTAACACTTCATCACTCTCCCATGGCACCTTCCCATACAGTAGCAATATATGCAACACTTGCTGACTCATCTCCTACCCTCACTATCCAAGGTTCTAAACAGACCTCACAGTGATGCAACATTTTACTTGTACTTCATTCAATCTAGTCTACTGTATTCACTGCTCACAATGTAACCTCCTCTACATTGGCAAGACCAAATGAAGACTGGGTAACTACTTAGTAGAGCAATCTCTGCTTTGTCTATATTTGGAATGACCCTGACCTTCCAGTTGCTTGCCATTTTAATAAACCACCTTGCTCTCACATTAACAGTTCTGACTGGGCCTGCTGCAATGCTGAACAATGCAAACTCAAGGAACAATACCAGATTTTTTATTCAGCACTTTGCAGCCCCTAGGACTCAATACTGAATTCCACAATTTCAGCAAAACTGAAAGAACTGCGGATGCTGTAAATCAGAAGCAAAACAGAAGCTGCTGGAAAAGCTCAGCAGGTCTGGCAGAACCTTCTGAGGAATGGTCACCGGACCCAAACCAATAACTCTGATTTCTCTTCACAGAC